CAGCTCACTGATCCAGTAATGAGTGACCCGACAGTGAAGAATAAATACATGTATAACTAGTTTAGCTTGTTCCAGAGGTAGATCAAACAGCTTAGTGTGTTAGGTCTAACTCTGAGTGTGTGTTGCTCCGCTCACCGGTCCGTCACAGCGGGCGGAGCTGCAGGATTTCTGCTTCACACACGTTGCATAGCGCTATTTTACTGTCTTTTTCGGACACCTTCAAATACTGCCAGACCGGTGAAGCCATTTTGGCGAGCTTGTTTTGCCGCACACAGAGAAAAGTGTCAGCGGCCGATCGATCGGAGCATCCCTAGTATATACTGTCCTGTTTCTTATAAGTCACTTGAACACAATACAGCGCTTCCTACTTACTGTCATGTATTCATTTGAGCAGATTTGATGGCGCATTAAAGCCACCTACTGGGCTTACTGGATTAACACATAGGTTGTAAATAAATAAAATAAATGATTAGAAACTAATAAATATTTGAATAAATATATAAATTAAATTAGTGTATAATTGATCTGAAGTCTTCCCAAGCAAATAGCTTGTATTACTTTCCTAAGCACCCCATGGTGAGTAGCAAACATCTAAAGTGATGTATCATTAAAGTATAGCAGCGCAGTGGGCTGCGGCTCCTTCACAGTCAAAGCCACGTTGGGGTTTACCAGCTCTATGCTTTTAATGTGAAGCAGCAGCAGGACGTCACATTAGAACTAGCTTAATCTATCCGGCTGTGAGAGTTCATTATTCTCATCAATTCAATCAAATGACTGTGACACAGTCCTGTGAATGTTGTGCAGGGGGGGGGCACTCCATCAGTAACAATGAATATAATATACAGACAGCTTTCTGAAAATACCTTGGGCTTCAAAAACTTTAATGGATCCTTATAATCAATTTACTTTGTTTTGAAATATCTGTTGACATGTGTTCTTTGTTATCTTTTTTAAGTTCTTAAATATAAATTTATCTACAACTAGTTCAAAACTTACAGAAGAGGATTAGGGCCATATGAAAAAAATATTTGGGGGATGTGAAAACCTTTTAAGATTTTTTTTTCTCAAACAAAATAAATAAAAGTTAAAAATATATTTGTTTTTGTTCTGAGAGAAAAGTCAGAATTCTGAGATTAAAGTCAGAACAAAAAAATAAGTAAATGTTTCATGTAAAAACTTGAATTAAAATGTACGGAAGAGGATTAGGGCCACATAAAAAAAAAAATTGTGAGGATTTGAAAAAAAATATTATTATTTTTTGTTCTGAGAAAAAAGTCAGAATTCTGACTTTTTTCTCAGAACAAAAAAAAAACATTTTATTTGGGAGAAAAAAGTCAGAAATACCGGTAACTGTAGAACCAGCTTCACTGCGATTTACACATTGCAGATGGTTGTATAATGATTTATTATGGTTTCCTCTTGGACCCCTCTGGCGCGCAGAAATGCACTCACGTCCTCCATTGTTGCCTACTGCAATGTGTAAATCGCAGTGAAGCTGGTTCTACAGTTACCGGTATTTCTGAGAAAAAAGTCAGAATTCTGAGATTAAAGTCAGAATTCTGACTTTTTTCTCCCAAAAAAATAAATGTTTTTTTGTTCTGAGATAAAGTCAGAATTCTGACTTTATCTCAGAACAAACATTTTTTTTTTTTTTTTTTAAATCCTCACAAAACATTTTTTTTATGTGGCCCTAATCCTCTTCCGTACAAATGTATTCAAAATATCAAGTATGATTTTATGTACCACTGCCCAGATGTTACAAGCTTTATGCATTCGGCTTTGTTTCCCAGCTGTGGGGTCAGAAGTGGAAGAGGATGAGGAGGAGGATGAAGAAGACATTGATGACAGGAAGGAAAATGCAGGCAATGTTGAAGAAGGAGGAGACAACGTGTTGATGAAGATCCGTAAGCAAACAGACATGACAATGAAGCAAATAATCCAATGTCTGGCCTTCAAAGTGGAACAGCAGTGTGTGTTTACTGCCACTAACTCTAAAAGTCTTGGATGTATGTGTGTGTTCAGGTGAGCTGGCTGCTGACCCAGTGGCTGCCCATCAGACAGAGCTCAGGGTGTCTCCAGGCTCACAGAGTCCCAGCGTCTTTGATGACACCAACAGGTGTGTTTTTTAGACTTGTTTTGTCCTTCATGTCATCTGCTTCACTTTTGACCTTAAAAATACAGGATTTCAGACTTTGGGCCAGTCTTTGTAATGCAGCATGAGTGTGTGTGTTTGTGTGTTCTCTTTTCAGAGCCCATTCAACACTAGATGACGTGCTGCAGGGCTATTTAGAGGAGGGCCCCACAAATAGCCCAGTTGCAAGTAAAAGTGTCACCAAATTGTGAGTGCCACGTACAGACCGGCTGCACAATTATTGTAAATCTAAGAAATCACATTATGGAATAGTGTAATATTCAAACTGGAGGAAACAATACTTGTCAAAGGGTAAATATGTGTTAAAATACAAGTTTGAATGAATGGAGAGATGAAGATATCCTGATGCATATTTGTTTCGTACTGAAAAAAAACCACTTAAATGTTATATATGTTTTTAATGAGAATGAGAATTATCATTCAAAATGAATAAATCCCCTTATATTGTCAATCATATCGCAATTGCATTATAGGTCCAAATAATTGCAATTCATTTATTTGTCCACAAATCGCGCAGCCCTACAGGCTGAGCGTGGTTTCAGTGCCACTAAAAGTCTTTTTCTAATTCCATTTCAGTTCATATACTTATTATTTTTGAATGTGCAGGTAGAGACCGCTCAGTTAGCATGCAGCTGTTCATCTGTCTAACAAACTGCTACAATAGAAAACATGAACTAATGCAGTGCCTCCCTTCTTTAGGATTCAGCTGTTTGAAGGACAGGCTGAGGATGATGATGATGAGGATGAATGAGAACCAGTAGGAGACCATTCACACATTCACAGCTCAACAACCTGAAGAATGTCCCAACTGGTAAACTTTATTAAGATTCATACATAGTGTGCTTAAGAAACACCTGGGCTAGACTAAAAAATACACACGGCAAGTCAAAGAATAGGAAAGAAGTATTTCACAAACAGCAGTTTCCTTATATACAGCACCTGTAATATAATTAGGTTATCACCATTAGCAGTTATATTACCATTATCAAGCGTATTTACAGTTTAATTTGAAATAGACTTTATATCCAAAGTGCAAGAATGCAAAATCTTCTTTTCCAGAACTGAATAAGAAATGTGTTTTATCAAACATCTTAAACAAAATGTACCTTTTCTGATCAGTACAGGAGGAGTGTGTGAGGACCAGGCTCAGTGTTCATCAGTCAAACTAAGGAAGTGTTCTTTGAGGTGTGTTTCTTTGAGTTATTTACAAGAGCATTTGGCTTGTTGGTTACGAGTACTAAAGACAGAGCTGTATTCATTGACATTTTCAAAAATGTGTTCAGAAATTCTGTAAACTAATCAGTTTGTATGTAGCAGGTAAAAAGATTCTGCCGTCTTCAACGTTAGAGCCATTGAAAAAGAGCCGTTTTGTTTTCTTACTTTGTGCTGTATAAGAATGTTTTATCAATAATTGACCCTATTTATCTTGACTTAAAATCCTTTGACAAAGTTCTTGAGTGATGTGTTAGCTGTAGATGTCTCTTAATAAAAACCAGCTGCAGCTTGAGCATCTGAATACCCATCATGCTTCAAACCTGTTGAAACTGCAACAGGAAACAGCGTGAGGGCTGAAAATACGGCCAATGTACCCACAAACATGTAGGGGCCCTCAGTGTCTTTACTACTCCAGATGGAGCAAATCCATAGACACCCCCCCACCCCTCACTCAACAGTCTCTGGGGGCCGGGGGCCTCACATGACGAGGCGGACGTGGCCCTTCCTGTCCAGCTCCACCAGAGAGAGCTGCTGCAGGGCCTTCAGCTTGGCATCGCTCACCTTCATCTTCATCTGCTTCATCTTCTGCACACTGAGGGGGGCACTGCAGGGGGGGGGTTATATACAGTGATCACATGTTTTCTACTTAAGGCTCAGTTGGATTTTCCCATTGGATTTCATAAAATTGCAGGAAATAAGATCTTATCCAATCACACGTTTATGATACATAATGTTAGCAGGATAATCTCCACATACTAACACTACATCATTGTTTTTGAATACAAAAGTTAACAATAGCTTATAAACAAGCTACATCACGGTCACATAACTTCACATCACAACCGCTAAACTAAAGGCGGCTAATGTTCGGCGTTTAGTAGTCACATCCACTTGTTAGCAACCGCTGTATTTTTGACACATAGAAGCTTCAGACATTCACCAGTGGCGTATTTGCTCTGATGTCATTTTGGTCAGAGAACACAAAGTGAAATGCCCTTCAGCTTGTGTGTCAAAGGCCCATGTTTGTTATCATTATTTGAGATGTGATGGAGCAGGGTATACCTTTATTAGAGGTGCGTCTGTTGTTTTTAGAATGTGCGTCAGGGTGGACACCTTGTCTTTATCTGCAACCTAAATCCACCAATGAATAACCTGAACCTTAACTAAAGACCTTAGTTCAGACATCTAACCAAAAACTAGGGATGGGAATTTGAAAGCAAATGTATATTCGAATATTCGACCCCCCAAAAAACGGTTAACCGAAATGTACATATCCTATAAAAAAAAAATGTGCGGAGGCGATTCACTATCAGGCCAGCTGTAGAGAAGACCCTCTCAGCTGGAACGGAGGTTGCGGGTATAGCAAGGTATAGCATGTATGTATAAGTTTAATTTGACCTCTACACCGCACTCACTAACCTGGTCGAAATATTTCCACATCCTTTTTGACGCCATGTCTGTTGTGTAGGACTCTTCTTAGAGTGTAAATAATTACCGGACTATGACTGGTAAAATATGTTGAATACCGGCAAAACTAAATCTCTCCTGTCAAAATGTCTTTGTACTTTGCCGCCACACACGGTTGCCAAGCAGCGCTTATTGTTGTTTAGGCTGGCCACTCATGTGTCGCGAGTGTTGACAGGGGGCGGGGGAGCACGCTCATGAACTGTTAGCGCCGGAACCTCGCAACGGCTGCGGAGCTCATTTGGGCCTAAGATGAGGTTAGCGTCTGCGTGATCTGCGTGTAGGGAGGGGCAGCAGCCATATCATTGGCTAGAACTGATGGATTTGGACATAAACACGAGTGAAGTATAACCGGACGCGAGAGAGAGAGAGATCAGCACCTGCAGCTCTGCCCGCTGTGAGGGACCGGTGAGCGGAGCAAAACACACCTTTAGACCTAACACATTTAGCTATGGCACGGTCGTATATATATATATATATATATATATATATATTTAATTATTCAATTTGATAATATGTAATCAACTCCATCACTCCCAAAAAAATTTTTTTTTTATAAAAATATTCATAACTCATATTCGAATACATGAATAATTTCAAATATTCGATTAATCGTTCCCATCCCTTCCAAAAACATGTTCAAAAAAAACTTAAAGACGTGAGAACTGAAAGTGGTCAAATGCTAACTCATTTCCAGAGTCAGGACTCATTCCTGTACTACTCTGAAACATTAGTCTTGCCAACATACATCTTCATACAAAGGCATCATTCAAATGCTACCCACGTAGATATTAAGATGCTATTGTGCTGAAAATAGAAAAGAGTCGGTGTAGTGTCTCGACCTGTCAGTGCTGCTGTGCTGCTGCAGCTGCTGGTAGAAGGTGTTGAGGTCGGAGAGCTTGATGTTGGCGCGGACGCTGAGAGGGAGCGACTCAAACATGGCTTCACTCAGATCCTCATTCTCACAGCCTGTGGACACACACAGATATCAGCCACAGTTTGACTTCCCACTCATACCAAGTGACATCCTAAACCAAGTAGTGGTGACAGGAAGTGGGTTATAAAACCATCCAACAGCTGGTGTACTAGACACTGACTCTACTGACCACGTGTAACACTGATTGAGTCTGGGTTCCATGACACTACCCACACAAGATAAACATGTCATTGTGTCCTACAGACGTTAACAATATACAGTATACCCTTCTTTAGACGGGTTGCTCTGATTGTTAAGTGTTGTATATCAGGGACTGTTGCACAAACCAAAAGAAAAGAGACCAAAGAGGTCATGTAGGGAAGAGGATTAGGGCCACGTGGAACATGTTTTGAGTTCTGAGATTACAGTCAGAATGCTATATTTTTTAAAGTCGTAGGATCACCAACACTTTAGCAGCTCCTCCTGAGGGGAACAGGACCGCCTGTGCAACATTTCTGAGCATCCTATTCAACAGTTCAGGCTGGACTGAACGCTGGACGGACAGTGTCAGAGAGTGGGGGACTCACTCGGTGGCTGCGGGGGTTCAGAGGCTGCTGCAGCAGGAGGCGTCTGAGAGAAAAGCAGACATCTTTAGTGTGACAATGGCCAGGGGAAGATGAGATGTGTGTGAAGAAGAGTCTCACGATGTGTTAAAGGGAGGACAGCACACAGCTGATTCACATTCATGTTAATCAATGGCATGAATACAGCGGTTCTGGGAAGGGCTGCAGTCGCTCCACTGGATTGTGGACGTCATTGCACACGAATACAAAGCAGGTGGTCTTGTGCTTGATTGTTATATGAACAGTTACAGTGTAGTTATGGCAGGGAGCAACTTAAGTCCCAGGCTCCTCCAACAATGCAACAGAAATATAAACAAGACAAGTGAAATATACAAATAGAATAAGATGAGCTATAGTCAGAATGTCAAATGAAATACTGCTTATTGTAATAATAGATACATATGTGAGATGCAAACAAATGAATGGTATGAAGTTGTGTTGCTCTACCAGCTGGGGTAAAGTGGCAGTGGGGTGGAGGTCCCAAGTACATGTGTCGATATTAATATTTGACCTGCGGAGCGCGAGACGGAACAATCATCACATCTGTAGCTGGTGTGTTCTAATGCAGAGGTTATTCATCATGTCTTACCTCTGTGGGCTCACTGACACCCAGCAGCTCTGCTGACTCCTGCTCTGACTCTGTCGCTGGATCAACCTGCAGCATGGTGACACACACACACACACACCACACACACACACACACACACACACACACACACACACACACACACACACACACACACACACACTCATTGAATGTTTTATTTGATATGATCATATGTACATTTTAAGGATAATAAGCTTGGGTAAGAGGAGTTCCAGATCAATCTTTTAAAGTATGTGTTGAAGGTTTGCTGGTTGATGGATCATATGCAGACCAAGATGTCTTAGCTCCGCCCCTCCAAGAATAAGGAGAAAGCAGGTATTGGTAGGTTGCAGTCGGGGGGGATTTTTTCACACTATGCAATATTTGTTTTTCGAGATCACATTAAAAAAACAGTATCTGTTGCTGGCTTTGTCAGTCTGTTAAAACGAGCCAAAAACATATATTTGAAAGCCAAAAATGTACAAGGCCTCCTTTAATGAAATGTCATAACCCCTTAATTCAAACATTACAAAGCTACTATTATAAATTAAACTGCATTGGTTTTACAATTTGAAACTCTTTAGATGCAAACTGCAGGATGAGTCTATTTTGTCTCACGTTTAGCAAATGCATCTGCCATTTGTGACTCGCATGACTTTGTATAACATGAATCTGCTGGCTCGCAAATGGCTTTTGCAAAACAGGCCAGATGACGGGAAGCATGTCCAAAAAGTAAAAGAACATCGTCCACTGTGACATTCACAAAGGCTTAATATGAAACACTCTGTATACAGTGTAAGTACACAGTGTGGTACCAGATCATCAGTGGTCTGCTGGAAGTGTTGGACCAGCTCCATGGCCGTGCTCAGGTTGTTTCTGATGGAGTCCATGGATTCTTTCTGAGCCGCTGTGATCTCCTTCACCTGCGAGCTCAGCGCTGTGTGTTTGGCCTTGATGGCCCTCAGGTTCTCCAGCATCACCGCCGGGTTCTCCTGCAGGAACACAGTGCAGATAGATACACACATCTTGTGTATGGTTTCTCATGTATACTGTCAGAAAAAGTTTGAAGGTCTGAACTGAATTTGAAGTAAAAATACACTGATGCTATGTAAGGTACATCATTATACACAGGTATGATTAAACAGTTAAAAAGTTGTTATTCATCTTTGGAAGAGTCAGATAGAGCTCGACTTACAGAACTAAAAAACATAATGCCATTCCTCAATGAACTGTGTTTATATTGGAGGTTGTACAATGACATTGCGTAAACAGTGTAGTTACATGTTGAAATATAGTATTTGAACTTCAGTAGTTGACAGTTTGATGTCCTGCAGACCTATCTCGAGTTGTGTAAAAAAGTTAGAAGAAATGGCTGCTGTTATTCCATTACCTTAGCAGCACATCCATTCTCTGAAGCGTTGTTGATGAAGTCCAGCTTCAGACGCTTCTCAATGTACTCCAGGTCTGCCTCCGACTTCAGGAACTGCAAAGACACTCAGCTTTATGTTTTGGTACTACATGCTGTACACACGTTCACCCTGCCTTTCTGATCAGAAGTAGGCCTGGGTTTTTCTAGATATATTAAAAAGAGCCACAGAGAATTTAAAATCTGATAAGGATGGTGCATTCAGGGTCAGTGGAGCTTTAAAGTAAAGGTGATAGGACCAACAAAAGCCATAGAGTTGTGTAGTGATGACTATAACGTAGGCCAACCCGGTCAAGTTAGCATCAAAGGCTCTCTCCACTAAAAGCAATATGTTTTAACAATGGATTTTGGAATATTGCAACCAATAAGATCTTTGGCAAAAACACATGATACTAACCACGTTATGCTGTTTGAAACCTTAATGCAATTGCCTGAAGTAGAAATGTAAATGTTATGGTGCAGCTGCTCTCTGCAGTTTTCAGATGCTTTGACAATACTATTGCACTGCTAGCTGTCTGATACAGTAGTGCAATGAAGTCAGAGCACCTGCCAACAGCTCAAGTGTGTAGAACGCTCCCTCGCTTGCAACCATTTCTGGCCGGAGCCCTTCTAATGTTGCACTGCTTTTCTAGCAGGGCCAGCAGCCGTACAGTAAAAGAGGCACTGGACAGACAGAAGATTACCCTCAGTGAGTTGTGAGTGTGTCATATATGTGAGAGACCCAAACAGACCCCTACAACCTCAACCAAACACCAAGTCCCAGAGTCATTGAAAAGGAGTAACTTACAAGCAGAGGTGGACGGAGTACTCAGATTATTTACTAGTAAGTAAAAGTAGAAATACAGTGAAAAAACACTCCTACATCTAAAATGTACTTAAGTAAAAGTAAAAATAGTATTAGTAACAGAATATAGTACCAAAAGTAAGAATACTTGTCATATTTGTAATTGTTTAATTAAAGAGGGGTTTATTTGAATTACTTTATATACTATTGTGTAGCTTAACAACTTAAATAATAATAAATGATCATGAATAAACTGATTTTAATTTTTTATTAATTAAAATCTGTAAAATAAATGTAATCGAGTAGAAAGTACAGTATTTGCCTACCTAGTGTAGTAAAATAATGAAGTAGCATAGTGTGAAAATACTGAAGTAAAGTACCTACATTTTTTTATTTAAGTACAGCATGAGTAGATGTACTTAGTAACATTTCACCACTGCTTACAAGTATTATCGTAGAAACATGAAATACATATTATATGTATAAGCTGTAGTGAAATGAGTGTACCTGAACGCGCCCTGTTTCAGTCTGTCTGCGGCCAGTTGTGTTCACTGACCGCTGCTTTAATGGTGGCCATGTTATTACATGTTGAAAACAGCAGAGCTGGGAAACGATTTCACAAAGCATCTTTTTTGGCTTACGCCCGACGCAATAACGGCAACAGTTAGCTAGTGAAATGGAGGCTTTAATAAACAAGGTTGTGAAATGTACTGCACTTAGACAGGCAGCTGAATGGCGCAAATGTGTTTGAATTGTTTTTTAATACAAAGAGAAAATCATGACCCGCCTGCTCTTACTGTGGGAGGAGTAATAACTCCTCGGATATAACGAGCTGCTAAACGTCTCTGAGATCGTTAACAAGGATTAAAAGCAATTTCACAAGATGAATACAAGGGAAAATATAATAGTTTTACACTGAGCTTACCATCGCCTCTAGTTTATCAACTGTGGTCTCCATGTTGAATAGTTTCCAGCCTGAGGTGGGCTCTGTCATTGGCCAGCTGTCATGAATGGAGGCCGCTGATTGGACGGCTCTGCTGCCCGTCTCTTTTTGTGGAATGGTTAAAAAAAATTCAAAACAACTTTATTAACAAAGTGTATTTCATCAATTGAACACTTTAAAACGCGGTGTGCGGATTGTTTTAATTCAACTAAACAGCATACAAAACAATTTGTTTAGGATTACTGTATATAACAGCCCATTCCATTTTTATGTTTTGAATGTATGTGGTAATGCTCTTTTCTAAAGCTAAAAAGACTACAGACACTGCTTTGGATATTGTTACTATGCAAGGACAAGTACTCGAAGTGGTTACCTGTTATAAATACCTAGGTATCTGGCTTGATGATTGTCTTACTTTTAAACTTCAGGTCATTAATCTGCTTAAAAAGCTGAGGGTTAGACTAGGTTTCTTTTTTAGAAACAAGTCCTGTTTCTCTTTTGAAGCCAGGAAAAGGCTAGTCACTGTGACCTTTTTACCTGTGCTGGACTATGGTGATTTGATCTAAATGAATGCACCTGCCCATTGCCTGGAAAAGTTAGATGCCGCCTATCACAGTGCCCTGAGATGTGTTACTAACTGTAAAGCACTTACTCATCACTGTACCCTGTATGCCAAGGCAGGTCTGCCTTCACTAACTGTACGGAGGCTCAGTCATTGGTACATGTTCATCTACAAAGCCATGTTGGGTAAACTACCTTTTTATATCTGCTCTCTGATCTCTCGACGAATTGAAAGTACGTATTGCCTGAGATCTCATGATGTGGTTTTATTAAATGTGCCAAGTGCTAGGACTGTCTTAGGGAAGAAAGCTTTTAGTTGTGCAGCTCCACTAAATTGGAACAGTCTGCAAACATGTTTAAAACTGAGCACTTTGGTTCCCCTGCATCATTTTAAAACTCAGCTGGGTGACATGCTGTTTGATACTCATGGTACTTGTCACTGTAAATAGAGTTTGTAAACTGTACCCTGCACATTATGTTGTATGTCATCCTTATTGTTGTTCTGTTGTTTTTATGTTACATGTGATGTGTAACTAAAAGAGATCTTTTGATCTCAAGGGGCTTTCACCTGGTTAAACAAAGGCTACAAACAATGACCATTTTTAGCTTTTACACCAGTGTGGGTATTTGTTTCTGTCGGGAATTGAACCCTGCTCTTCTAGACTTGAATCTTAACTCCGAACAACTGCTACTCAAGCAACAAAACCACAATAATTTACAATTCTTTTTTGAGTTTTTTTAAATACTATCTTCCAGTTCATCTTTTGTGGGTTCTGTGTTTGAGTATTGCTGCACTCTAATGTTTTATGCAGAATGGGAAGACTAGAAAAACCTTGCTTTACTCTGACTTGGTTTGAGGTTCATTTGTGCCTTGGTACAACACAGGGTCACGCCAACATATAGTTGTATGCCTTTAAGCTACAAAAGACATAACAAAACATAACTTGTTTTTATAGTGAACATGGAGGATGAGTTGCTGAATAAAAATCTACTCTGTTGTCTGGTGGTAGGACAGCAGATAGCCTACTTCTGTATCTCTTGGCAGGAGGCAGCGGAGGGAGCTGGCTGTGGTTGGGGAGTTTCCTTCACTAGGATGCAGACATGTGATGACCATGTATTGTGGTTTTGTTCGATGTTTTAAATGCTGATTTCTAGGTACTTAAATCTGTTCGCTGGCTCTTTTTCAGCTCCACTGATGTATACGACAGTAGTGTGTGTATTTTCCTATTTTCCTAAATCAATGATTAGTGGATTGGTTTTGCTTAAATTAAGCAAAATTGTTGATTTCCTAAAGTCTCTTGTTTGTTAGAAATCCGGCCAATCATGGTTAGGGTTAGGCCTCTGGTGTTCAGCAGGGTCAGTTTGTGGGAAAGTCAAAAATACAAGTGCATAGTGGGGTAGTCATTCCCAGTTTTGCTATTTCTGACCCATGACACCCAAGAAGTCAAAAAAGGACCAAAAAAACCATGAATCTTTCAGTCTCAGATTGCGTTCCCTTGAAGCTCCTTTCTGTCCAAACTCAAATATAATATCTAGTGGTTGGAGTCAGAATGGTTGAGCTCTGACCTGTAATTCAATCATGGTGCTCTGTGACACATTACATTGCATTTAGCTGACGCTTTTATCCAAAGCGACGTACAATAAGTGCGTTCGACCAACAAAATACAAACTTGAGGAAAACAGAATCATATAAGTACATCAGGCTTCATAGAGCAAAAACATTTCAAGTGCTACTCAACAGGCTTTAGATAAGCCAGTCCTTTATTAGTATATAAGTGCTTTGTTAATAGTTCTATTGCTCGAAGTGGAGTCGAAAGAGATGAGTTTGCAGTCTGCGCCGGAAGGTGTGTAAGCTATCTGTTGTCCTGATGTCAATGGGGAGCTCATTCCACCATTTTGGAGCCAGGATTGCAAACCCACGTGTTTTTGCTGATGGGAACTTGGGTCCCCTTCGCAGCGAGGGTGCAGTGAGCCGTTTGGTTGATGCAGAGCGGAGTGCACGTGCTGGGGTGTACGGTTTAACCATGTCCTGGATGTAGGAAGGGCCAGATCCATTCGCAGCATGGTACGCAAGTACCATTGTCTTGAAGTGGATTCTAGCAGTTACCGGAAGCCAGTGGAGGGAGCGGAGGAGCGGCGTGGTGTGGGAGAATTTAGGAAGGTTGAAGACCAGATGAGCCGCTGCATTCTGGATGAGCTGCAGAGGTCGGATGGCACATGCAGGTAGACCAGCCAGAGGGAGTTGCAGTAGTCTAGGCGTGAGATGACGAGAGCCTGGACCAGAACCTGCGTGGCTTTCTGGGTCAGCTGGGGACGTATCCTCCTGATGTTGTAAAGCGTGTATCTGCAGCAGCGGGTTGTAGCAGCGATGTTTGCAGTGAAGGACAGGTTGTTATCTAGGATCACACCCAGATTCCTTGCAGTCTGAGTCGGGGAAACAACAGAGGTGCCGATGTTGATTGTTAGGTCAAGAGTGGGGACAATCTTTTCCCGGAAGGAAAAGCAGTTCAGTCTTGTCAAGGTTGAGCTTGAGGTGATGAGCAGACATCCACTGAGAGATGTCAGCTAGACAAGCAGAGATGCGTGCGACGACCTGGGTCTCTGAGCGGGGAAAGGACAGAATTAATTGGGTGTCGTCAGCGTAGCAGTGGTATGAAAAACCATGTGGGCTAATGACAGATCCGAGCGAGTTTGTGTACAAGGAGAAGAGGAGGGGACCGAGAACAGAGCCCTGAGGGACCCCTGTAGTTAATTGACAAGGGTCAGACTCCGACCCTCTCCAAGTAACCCTGTAGGTGCGGTCTTTGAGTTATGAGGTGATGAGGGAAAGTGCAGAGCCTGAAACTCCAAGTTCTTGGAGAGTGCGAAGGAGGATCTGATGGTTCACCGTGTTGAATGCAGCAGACAGGTCCAAAAGGATGATGACAGAGGAGAGGGAGGCTGCTTTAGCAGTGTGCAGTTCCTCAGTGACAGCAAGGAGGGCAGTTTCTGTGGAGTGACCTGCCTTGAAACCAGACTGGTGCGGATCCAGAAGGTTGTTCTGATGGAGATAACAGGAGTTGTTTAAAGACAGCGCGTTCAAGTGTTTTAGACAGGAACGGGAGGAGAGAGAGACAGGCCTGTAGTTTATAACATCAGACGGGTTGAGAGTGGGTTTTCTTTAGGAGAGGGTTTACTCTTGCCTCCTTGAGACTGTTTGGAAAGTGACCAGAAGTTAGAGAAGTGTTGATGAAATGGGTGAGAAAAGGTAGAATATCAGGAGCGATAGTCTGAAGGAGGTTTGAAGGGATAGGGTCCAGAGGACAGGTGGTAGCGCCCTACCACCTGTCCTCTGGACCCTATCCCTTCAAACCTCCTTCATACAGAAGTAGGCTATCTGCTGTCCTACCACCAGACAACAGAGTAGATTTTTATTCAGCAACTCATCCTCCATGTTCACTATAAAAACATGTTATGTTTTGTGGGCAGAGGTAATGAGGGTAAGAACCTCACTTGGAGAGAGAGGGGAAAAGGAGGTCAGTGTGTTGGTGGAAGGAGGGTCTGGTGACCCAGCAGTGAGTAAAGGTGAGTCAGAAAAAGAAGAGCGAATATCATCAACCTTTTTTTCAAAGTGGATAACAAAGTCGCTTGACAGAAGTGAGGAGGGGGGAGGGGCTTTGGGAGGGTCCAAGAGGGTGGAGAAGATGGAAAATAGTTTTTTGGGATTGGAATAGGAAGATTGGATCTTATCTTGAAAGAAAGTGCTTTTTGCCTGAGAGATCGAAGCAGAGAAAGAGGAGAGGAGAGCCTGATAGGTTAGGAGGTCGTCATGGTGTTTGGATTTCCACCGTTTCCGCTCTGCTGCCCGAAGGACGGTTCTATTAGCACGCAGTGCATCATTTAGCCAGGGAGCAGGAGGGGACTGACGAGCCTGCCGAGATGTGAGAGGACAGAGAGAGTCCAGAGAGGATGAGAGAGTAGAGAGGAGAGTTTCTGCAGCAGAGTTTGGAGGCAGCAGTTGGAACGAGTCAGAGGAAGGGAGGGCTGAGAGCACCGATGAGGCAAAGGTAGAGGGGGAGAGGGAACGAAGGTTACGGCGGACAGGTGCAGGATGAGAAGAGATTAGTTTGTTATGTTTGGAAAGGGGTAGAGAGAATGAAATGAAGAAGTGATCGGATGTGTGGAGCGGGTTTACAGTGAGGTTAGAAGTAGTGCAGTTCCTTGAGAATATGAGATCAAGGACATTGCCAGCTTTATGAGTCGGTGGGGAAGGAGACAGTGAGAAAGCGGAGACAGTGAGAACGCAAAGGCAGTTAACAGAGATGTTAGTTCGTCTATCTTCCCCGTCTGGAGGTTGAAGTCTCCGAGAAGTACAGCGGGAGGGCCAGTTTCAGGGATGTGTGAGAGGAGATGATCTAATTCCTCCAAGAAGTCCCCCAAGGCGCCTGGTGGACGGTAGAGAACAACAATGGTTAATTGTATAGGATGGGATACTGTGACGGCATGGAATTCAAAGGTGGAAGGAGTGAAGTTAGGTAGCTTGAAGAGGGAAAAGC